TTCATGAATTGGAAGGTTCAATACTGTTAAGATGTCAACTCTCCTCAAATTGATCAATAGATTCAACATAATTCCAATAAAAGTCCAGTATGTTTTTTTGAGAAAGCAACAAGATGACTTTAAAATTTATAATGAAAGGCAAAGGAAGCAGAATAGTCAAGTGTTAGAAGCATAAAGCTGGAGAACTCACTCTACTTGATAACCAATAGTATAAAGCTACAGTATTGGAGAAAGGATAGATACATGGATCAATGGAACAGAATAGAAAGTTTAGAAACAGACCCACACATACACGGTCAATTAGTATTTAACTAGGGTACAAAGGCAATTCGATAAATACCCACATGCAAAAGAATAAACCTCAATCCATATTTCACATCCTATATAAAAATTAACTCAAAATGGATCAGTGGTTGCCAAGGGTTGAGGGTTCGGGTCAGGGAGATGTTGATTACCAAAAGATATGGTGAACTTTTGAGGAGGACAATAATACTGCTTTATACCTTGACTGTGGAGGTGGTTATCAAAATTCACAGAAGGTGACTTTTATTGTTTGTAAATTTTTTTTTTTTTTAAAAAGAGTCTATTTTAGCAGTCAGTACTATCTAGGAAGAAAAAAAATTATAATTGGTAACATCCAGGCAAGAATATACATGTAATCACAATTTGGTTACGAATGGGCTATAAACGAGAGAGAAAAACACTGAAGGGCCGCAGATGTAATGCCTTAAGTAACTGCATAAATAAAGGTTCCCCCATCTGCCTTTGGATTCAGCTTGGAAAATGCTGGAAATAATAGGATCTATCTTACCTTTCCAGAATGCAAACAAGGAAGTGTTTTGGAAGACTAGTTAATCAAATTTTCGATCTGGAAGCTATACTGAACATCTTCACCTGTATGTCCTGCAGACATCTCTAACTCCAACAGTAAACTCTATCTTAATAAATGGTAACACCATTCATTCATTCAGTTCAATTAAGAAATCTGGGTGCTATCTTTGACTCCTCCCTCTGTCTTACCTCCTCCATCCAATTAATTTATTTATCTTCAAGTCATGATAATTCTACCTCTCAAATATACCATCTCTGCTGTGAAGCAGAAAAGAGCATAGAACTAGAAGCTGAGCATGATTGAATCTACAAAGTGAAAGAGATTGGATCACATGAGGTTAGTGAGTGAAGAAGAGACCATATTAATTATTTTGATGTTTGTGTTCATCTCAAACACATCTCAAATATGTGCTTTTTTCTCCATCTCTACTTCTACCATTCTAGCACATATTACTACAGCTCTTCTCTAAATTACTTTAATAGTCTCTGGTCTCCCTATATCCATTCTTGCTTCACTTTCATTTTCTTCACTGCAGTTAAAGTATTCTTTCAAAAACACTATTCTTAAAAAAAAACAAAAACAAAAACAAAAACTAGTCTGACTAGGTCATATCATTCATACCATAAAATCCTTCAATCTCTTCCCGATTCTTTTAGCACAAACAGAAAAATAATGAAATAGGTGCTTGTTTAGCTCACTAGCCTCATCTCACACTACTCTCTTTTCCCTCTAGATTCAACCATGTTCAACTTCTAGCACAGACACTATATTGTTCCTTCTGCCTGCAGTACTTCTCCTTCTGCCTACCCTTGCACCTCAACTTGTCTAGCTTACTCCCTTTTTTCCTTCAGCGGCAGCTGATGTGGCACTTCGAGAAAGTTTTCTATGAGCCTTCATGTCTAGTTTCTTTTTTTTTTTTTTTTTTGTCTTTTTTCGTGACCGGCAACGGGACCGCAACCCTCGGTGTTGCCCCCGCTCCTCGCTCAGCCAGTGAGCGGCCGGTCTGCATGTGGGATCCGAACCCTCGGCGGGAGCGCCACCACACTTCCCAAGCAGCGCACTGAAGCAGTGCGCCACCGGGCCAGCCCTTCATGTCTAGTTTGACCTACTCTTTTATCTGCTCTTACAGCATAGTTCATCTGTAAGTACTTGTGGTATAACAAAATATATATATATGTATGTATGTGTATATGTATATATGTATGTGTATATGTATATATGTATGTATGTATGTGTATATGTATATATGTATGTGTATATGTATGTGTATATGTATATATGTATGTATGTATGTGTGTGTGTGTATATATATATATATCTCTCTCTTTGGCCTTTGTCCCAGATTCCCAGCACAGAGCCCTTAAAACCCTTGGAATCTCGGGAGTGACAGAAGTGTCTTTCATATGCTAATAAGATGACTGGTGGCTGGGGATCAGTAGACAGCTTCAGGATGAAGGATGGTTGCAGGAAAGAACAAGCCATGATCAGAAGTTTGGAATTTTCAGCCCCATCCGCTGACCTCTGGGGAGGGGAGAGGGACTGGAGATTGAATTCAATCACAAATGGCCAACAATTTAATCAATCACAACTACATAATAAAACCTCCATGAAAACCCCTAAATGATGGAATAAGAGGAGCTTCTGGGTTGGTGAAGACATTGATGTGCTGGGAAGGTGGTGCGCCTGGAGAAAGTATGGAAACTGCCACTCCTCAGCCCTCACCCCAACCTTGTCCTATGCATCTCTTCCATTTGGCTGTTCCTGAGTTGTATTCCTTATAATAAATCAATAAATGAAAATGAAGTATTTTCCTGAGTTTTGTGAGTCATTCCAGTGAATTATCAAACTGTGGGAAGGCAGGTCATGGGGACCCCTGAGTGTGTAGCCAAGTCAGACAGAAGTGTGGGTAGCATGGGTACTCCCTGTGTGACTGGCATCTGAAGTGAGGGCAGTCATGTGGGACTGAACCCTTAACCCATGGAGTCTCTTAACTGCAGGTAGTTAGTGTCAGAATTGGATTGAATTGTTGGACACCCAGTTGGTGTCCAGAGAATTAACAAAATTGGTGTCAGATTTGGTACTGAAAAAGACATCACATATTTGGAGTCAGAAAGAACTTGAGAGTACTTACTCACAATCTGTTTATAATTTCTTTTTTTTAAATATTTAAAAAATTTTTTCTCTTAATTTACACATTGTAATTGTACATACCTGTGGGGTACAATCTAATGTTTTGATACATACATAAGTTGGATAATAATTGGGTCAGGGTAGTTAACGTATTAATCACCTCATACATTTATCATTTCTTTGTGGTGAAAACATTCCAAAGGCTCTCCTCTAGCTATTACGTAATATACAAAACTTAACTGTTAACCAGTCACCCAACTATGCAATAATAGAACATCAGAACTTATTTCTCCTGATTGTATGTTTATAATTTCATTGACTATAAATTCCACAAGACAAGATCATGTTTGTCTTATGTACCATTGTATCCCCAAAACCTAGCACAGTGCCTGGCACTCTCTTCAATACATATGGGGAATATATAAATGGAATGCCTACCACTGGGGTGTAGAAATTCTACGTTGTTATCTGGGAGAGAAGCTAGTCATGAGTTTTTCCCTGGCTCTGCTTGTGAAACAACACTGAAAGCTAAAGGCACAAAAAGAGAAAAGGAACAAGCCCAACTTCACTATGTGATGTGAAGGCTGACTACAGGATAGGGAGGCACAGAGGAAGGAGCAGGAAGCAGCAAATGTGATACCACTTCAAAGAGGAAGTACAGGGCCGACCCGTGGCGCACTCGGGAGAGTGCTGCACTGGGAGCGCAGCGACGCTCCTGCCACGGGTTTGGATCCTATACAGGAATGGCCGGTGCGCTCACTGGCTGAGCGCGGTGCGGACGACACCAAGCTAAGGGTTGCGATCCCCTTACCGGTCACAAAAAAGACAAAAAAAAAAAAAAAAGAGGAAGTACAGCTGAACACAGCACAAAGATCAAGTCATAGCCCCAGGAACTTCTCCACATTGAACCTCTTGTGTTGTCAAGTTCTGCTCACCCAAAAGCTATTAAGCAGTAGAGTTCAAACTCTGCTTTGCTGCCTGATTTTTAAAAAGGGGGGACTATAAAATAAATAAAAATTACCTAGTCCACTAGTCAGACTCCAAAGGCAAAAAAAACCCTTCCCAAATGAACAATATTGCATCAAGTTCTTTGAAGAAAGTTACCCAAATGAGAAAACCACATGCAGAGAATACATGCTTTGTCCATCATCATCAGCCCTACTTGAAAGTAGTAATTCTGTACTCTTTAGCATATAGGCACTCATTAGTGCTGAAGCACTTGTACTTGCTGACCTGTTATTCTGTCAAAGGTTCTTTTTTTTTTAAAAAAAAAAGATGACCGGTAAGGGGATCTTAACCCTTGACTTGGTGTTGTCAGCACCATGCTCAGCCAGTGAGCGAACCGGTCATCCCTATATAGGATCCGACAAAAAAAACCCTTCCCAAATGAACAATATTGCATCAAGTTCTTTGAAGAAAGTTACCCAAATGAGAAAACCACATGCAGAGAATACATGCTTTGTCCATCATCATCAGCCCTACTTGAAAGTAGTAATTCTGTACTCTTTAGCATATAGGCACTCATTAGTGCTGAAGCACTTGTACTTGCTGACCTGTTATTCTGTCAAAGGTTCTTTTTTTTTTAAAAAAAAAAGATGACCGGTAAGGGGATCTTAACCCTTGACTTGGTGTTGTCAGCACAACGCTCATCCAGTGAGCTAACCGGCCATCCCTATATGGGATCCGAACCCGGGGCCTTGGTGTTATCAGCACCACACTCTCCCGAGTGAGCCACGGGCTGGCCCCAAAGGTTCTTAAGAACAGGCTTATGTGTGTACATTCTCTCTGTTCAACTAGATCTAAGCTTCTCAAGGGCAGAAAATGTCTTCTGTTACTCTCAAATCCATGTTTTTCAGTGCTGAGCAGAGGCGAGACTCTTCAAACACTAAACAGGACTGAACACTAAATAGATGTTGTATACTCAGTACCCATTGGGTAAATTTGTTGAGGCTTATAGAATCTGAAGAGAATGAGTCCAGGCCTAAAAGATATGGGTAAGAAAAGACCATCTCCATCTTGCCACAAAAACAAGTCTTACCTGTGATGGGGTTATCCTCCCCTTTTTAATTTCAGATGAATTTTCACTTAGTTTTCCTACTTTGTTACTTGAGCTGCATTTGTAGCATGACCATCTTGTTTGGCCCTCAATTTCTATGGTGCATTCTTTGTTTTGTAGACAGAATGAATGATACAGATGACCACAGCTGCAAAATGAAGGCAACCAATTTGTACTTTTCATTCTCAAAAAATCCATAAACATAAGCTATGATCGAGTATACCTATAAGCAATAAAGATTTCTAACAAGCTTGGATTCACTGATGGTTGTATAGGATAAGAAACAAGAAAGAAATGTACTTGTTGCAGTTCTCACTTTTTAAAAATCTAGACTCACATATTTTTATACTTAAGTTATAAGTAGGAACAGAGTCACAGTTGTCTGACTACAAACCACCTGGAGAATGAGTTGAACTTCTGTTCATTTCTCAAACTATGAAATTCTGACAGTATTTTTAGATAGTCTGAAAAAAGGCAATTGGGAAAAATCTTAATTATATAAGTAGCTTGATAATAGCATGAGTGGTCTGCCTCATCAAGGTCAAGGCAAGAGTTGTGATTTGCTTAAACATTTACAAAAATGTCATTGCTGCCACAAATTCTGACACAGTAAAGAAATTCCCTACTGATTACATTAAATTACCAAATAAGCCTTCCAGAAATTGAGTGTTGAGCATAATTCTGTCATCTTTACTGATATCTCTTTATTTCCCCAACCTGAAGGTCAGTCTTTTTCTCTTGTATAGTCTTTACATTCTTTTTCTGTAATTGTATAAGTAGCTTGATAATAACATGAGTGGTTTGCCTCATCAAATTCAAGGCAAGAGTTGTGATTCGATTAAACATTTACAAAAATGTCATTGCTGTCATAAATTCTGACATTTTGAAGAAATTCCCTACTGATTACACTAAATTACCAAATAAGCCTTCCAGAAATTGAGTACTGAGTATAATTCTGTCATCTTTACTGATTTCTCTTCACTTCTCCAACCGGCATGTCAATCTTTTTCTCTTCTATAGTTTTTTATTCTTTTTCTTTCCTATATTCTCTCTGTCCACATATAACCTATTTTTTCTATACTCTTCTCTTCTGTAACTACCCTTGCTCCTTTAGCAATAACTTTTGGCTCAAAATAGCTTTAAAATACCACCCTTATCGGGGATGGGACATAATAATCAACTACATTGTATATTGACAAAATAAAAAAATTTAAAAAATTTTTTTCTTAAGAAAAAAAAAAAATACCACCCTTATATGCTTATGACTACCAAATTTATAACTACAGCCCAGATATCTCCCATAAACCTTATATATCTAATTAGCTCCTCAAGAACTCTGCTTTGGATGTCTAATCTTACATTTAACATGTTCAAAACCAAACTTCTGATTTCCACCCCACTCCACCCCCACTGCATGCTCTCATCCTACCTCCTACATCTCAATAAATGGCAACTTTCTTCCAGTTTCTCAGGCCCAAAACTTTGGAGTCATCCTTGACTATTGACTTTCTTTCACAGCCCACATCCAATCTATAGACAAATCCTAACAGCTCTATCTTCAGAATATATCCAGAATCCTACTGCTTCTTACTTCATTGCTATCTTCCCAGGCTGCCTCTCCCATAGGTTACTGCAATAACCTAACTGGTCACTCTGCTTTACCCCTAGCCCCACAACAGTCCATTTTCAGCACAGCAGTCAGAGCAATCCTTAAGACATAGGTCAGATCATGTCACTCCCTCCTCAAAACCATTTAATCGTTTTTCATTTCAGAGAAAAATCTAACTCCTTATAATGACCCAGTTCCAACATGATTTGGCCTCTGGTCCTCCTCTTAATTCCTCTCTCAAATAATTTTCCCTTTCTTTCACTCTACTCAGGTACCACTAAACCTACTCACTATTGCTCAAGTATGTCAAAAATGCTTCTGCCTTATGGTCTCTGCACTTACTGCCCCTCTGCCTGAGGCACTCTCTCCTGATATTGCATGGCCACTTCCTTTAGGTCTCTGCTCAAACGTCACTTAAACAGTGAGGCTTTTCTTGACTAGTCTTTATAATTAGAAACTCCAACATTATCTGTCATAACCATGACAGATATAACCATGTTTTATTTTTATTCATGTAATTACTAGTTACCTTTATATTAATTAGTTCAATTGTCTGTTCATAAGTCATCTTAACGGTGAGACATTCCCTGACCACTCTATATAAAATATCCACCCCCTTTCATGCCCAAACACTCTGTACCTCCCTTAACATATTTTTTTCCCACAATAGTTATTAATATCTGCAAACTTGTTTGTTTATTGTCTGCCCCTTACATGGAGAATGTAAACTCCATAAGGGCAGATCCTCTGTTTTGTTCATGCTATACCCTATCCCCTTGAACAGTAACTGGCATACAGTAAGTGCCCAGTAAATATTTGTTGAATGAATGAGCTGTTAGTGTGATGAGAACCACTTTCCCTTCCAACCATCAAATCTACCAATCTTCACATGTAGCTAACACTTATAGCGCTCACTCATGCCAGGCACTGTTAAGTGCCTTACATAAATTATCTCATTTAATCTTCACAAAACCCTAGGAGGCAGGTATTATTATCCCAATTTGCAGATTAAGAAACTAAAATACAAAGAGGTTAAATAACTTGTTCAAAGTCTCACAGATGGCATGTGGCAAAGTCAAGACTTGAACTCAAGAAGTCTGGCTCCAAGTCCACATTACGTTGCCTCTACCCATATATTTTGGATGAGCTGTCCTCTGCTCCTGAGACCAACCCCTTCACTTCTGCACTAGACCTCTTCCCTCTTTGCACTGTGGCTTAAAGATCATTTACATGCTGATGATTTTTCTAAATTTACATTTCCAACCCCAATATGTCTCCAGATTTGACTAGAATATCTGTCTACCTGACATCCTTACTTGAATGTCTAACAGCCATTTCAAACATAACATCTGCAAGACAAAACTCTTGATTTCCCCAGTTCTTTATACAAAGATACCAAATTTACCCAGTTGCTCAGGCCAAAGACTTCATTTTCCCCTCACACTTCACATCTAATACACCAGCAAGTCAGCCCTATCTTTAAAATATATTCTGAATTCAGTAAAGTGACAGGATGCAAAATCAACACACAAAAATCAACAGTGTTCCTATTTGCCAATAATGAAATAACTGAGGAAAAAAATCAAGAAAGTAATCCCAATTTACAATAGCTACCAAATAAATTAAATACTTAGGAGTAAATTTAACAAAGGAGGTGAAAGACCTCTACAATAAAAACTATAAAAAACTGGTAAAAGAAATTGAACAGGACACAAATAAATAGAAAGATATCCCACGTTCATGGGTTGGAAGAATTAATATAATCAAAATGTCCACGGGAGAGTGCGGTGCTGAAAAAAAGAAAAAATGTCCATAATACCCAAAGCAATCTACAGATTCAATGCAAACCCTATCAAAATACCATGACATTCTTCACAGAAACAGAAAAAACAATCTTAAAATTTGTATGGAACCACAAAGACCCCATATAGCTAAAGAAATATTAAACAAAAAGAACAAAGTTGGAGGCATCACACTACCTGACTTCAGAATATACTATAAAGCTATAGTAACCAAAACAGCATGGTAATGGCATAAAAACAGACGAATAGACAAATGTAACAGGACAGAGAGCCTAGAAATAAATCCACACATTTATAGCCAACTGATTTTCGACAAAGGTGCCAAAAATATATTGGAGAAAGAACAGCCTATTCAATAAATGGTGCTGGGGAAACTGAATATGCACATACAGAAGATTGAAACCAGACCCCTATCTCTCACCATACACAAAAATCAACTCAAAATGGATCAAAGAACTAAATTTAAGATCTGAAACTATGAAACTACTAGAAGAAAACATAGAGAAAACACTATACAAAATTGGAGTGGGCAGCACTCTTGAGAAAGACTACAAAGGCATAGGCAACTAAAGCAAAAATACAGAATGGGACTATATCAACTAAAAAGCTTCTGTGCAGCAAAGGACACAATCAACAATGTGAAGAGACAATCTACAGAACAGGAGAAAGTGTTTGCAAACTACATATTTGTCAAGGGGCTAATATCCAGGATATATAAGGAATTCAAACAACTCAACAGGTAAAACACAAGTAAGTCCAATTAAAAAATGGGCAAATGACCTAATAGAATTTACTCAAAAGAAGACATACAGATAGCCAAAAGGCAAATGAAAAAGCACTTAACATCACTAACCACCAGGCAAATGCAAATTAAAGCACAATGAGATATCATCTCACCCCAGTTAGAATGGCTATTATCAAAAAAATTGAAATCAACAAATGCTGGCAGAGAAAAGGGAACTCTTCTACATTGTTGGTGGGCATGTAAATTAATATAGCCATTATGAAAAACAGTATGGAGGTTCCTCACAAAAGTAAAAACAGAAGTACCTTATGACCTAGCAATCTCACTACTGGGTATATACCCAAAGGAAATGAAATTATTATATCAAAAAGACATCTGCACTCCCATGTTCACCGCAACACTATTCATAATAGCCAAGAGATGGAACTAACCTAAATGCCCATCAATGGATGAATGGATAAAAAGAACTCTGGCATATATACACAATGGAACATTATTCAGCTATAAAATAAAATGAAATTCTGTCATTTGCATAACATGCACGGAACTGGAGAACATCAAGTTAAGTGAAGTAAGCCAGGCACAGAAAGACAAACATCCCATGATCTCATTCATATGTGAAATCCAAAAAATGTACCTCTCATAGAAGTAGAGTAGAATAATGGTTACCAGAGGCCAGGAAAAGAAGGCGTTGGGCGGGGGGAGTGGTGTATTAATGGGTACAAAGTTACAGGCAGATGGGAAGAACAAATTCTGGTGTTCTAGGCTGACTAGAGCTAATAATATTATATGACATATTTCTAAATAGTTAGAAAAGAGGATCTTGACTGTAATCACCACAAAGAAAAGGTAAATGTTCAGGGGATAAATATACTATCTACCCTAAGTAAATCATTGTATAATATATGCAGGTATTGAAACAATACACTGTACCCACACCACAAATATGTATAATTAAATTTTAAAATAAAAAAATATTTTGAACCCAAACATCTCTCAGCACCTTCACTCCTACCTCTGCTCAAGTGTCACTTCCTCAGAGATGACTTTCCTCATTATGCTTTCTTAAAATAGTATTCTCATCCTGAACATTTCATCCTTCTCTCCCTATGCCCTGTTTTATTTTTTCATAGCTCTTATTACTCTGTATTTATGTACTGCTTGAGCACCCTAACCTCCACCCCTCCCCACCCCCATGCAGAATGTGGTCTGTGAGGGCAGAAACTTGCCCACGCACTGCTAGAATGACCAGCTAGGGCTGTGTATCATGTGTATTTCTGCCTGGTAATACCATATATGTACACATACTATACATGTAACATTTCCTTCCCTCTCTTACCTAAAGACAATAATTTCATCAGCCATTTCTTGGCGTCTCTTGTACTGCTGCAAACATATAGAGCAGTAATCCTGTTTGGGATTCAGTCCTCTAGTGACCGAAGCTCTCAAATTACACAATGACCAATGGAGATCTTGGTTTAGAAGGCTAGTTGTTGTTTCCAGCAGAGTCTATGAAAGATCAAAACAAAAACCAAACAAGCAAAAAGTTATAAAATCAGAGAAACAGAGGAGGTAAATGGGGAAACAGCTCTTGTTTAGTTCTCAACTACAAATAACTGAAATTGAAATACACTGTAAAGGGATAAAATTGATGAAACAAACAAATATCAAAAAACCCCATACTCAAGAATTTAATCCTAAAACATGCAGAGTAATAATTAGTGTATACATTAAGATTCTCAAGTCTGCTGCTAGTTTCTACTGTGCTCTGCCATTCTGTGGCTTAATTCACAATTGATGGCTTTCAAATGACTAGATAAGTCCAAATCTGTTTATTTATTACATTTATATAATAGCTTCTGTCTGAATGACTCAAAGTATTATAACAAATAACATAGCTAAGTCTGGATCCCTGCATTCATGGCAATGTTTCAAACAACGTTTCACTGGAAAAGCTAATGGCTATTACTCAGTTTTCATCTCTCTTTGGCAGAGAGATCACATTTTCCTGATCAGCACTTATGAATCATTTGTAACTACTCAAGAATATGACATCTGTCATTAAGTCACATAAGGACATTTTCACAGCTATCACATTAAATCATTTTAAGGCTCTATATGCTTATAAAGAATTATTTTCATACTATAATTCATTCTCAACTTTCACATATACCATTTAGACATGTAGCTGGGTCCTTTTCAGTTAGTCCCAAAGGGCAAGGCAGAGAGAGGTTCTGCCGACCCTTCTGGCTATAAAGCTTAGCTCTTTAACTTTACCTGTAATGCAAAACTTTTCATTTTAGCTATCCTAATTCTTTCCAATCAATGCCATCTTCCTCGTATCTCATAGTTCCAAAGTTGGCAAAAATTTTCTACTTTGTACTCAGTTTTATTTCTACTAACCAGGGATCTGAGCCTGAAGGGGTATCAAACTTCACTGGGCTAGGCTTAGCAAAACTGCAATTCTTACAACACTCTGAGAAAAGCTGTCACCCAAATTTTTGTTTTTCGGGCCGGCCCGTGGCTCACTCGGGAGAGTGTGGTGCTGATAACACCAAGGCCCCGGGTTCGGATCCCATATAGGGATGGCCGGTTTGCTCACTGGATGAGCGTGGTGCTGACAACACCAAGTCAAGGGGTAAGATCCCCTTACCGGTCATCTTTTAAAAAAAATAACACCAAGGCCCCGGGTTCGGATCCCATATAGGGATGGCCGGTTTGCTCACTGGATGAGCGTGGTGCTGACAACACCAAGTTAAGGGTTAAGATCCCCTTACCGGTCATCTTTTTTAAAAAAAAAAAACAAAAAACAAATTTTTGTTTTTCTTCTCTCAGAATCTTAAAAAAGTAGACACTGTATTTAACATCCCTAAATGACACTTTTCCTAGGTGACTTCATGAGTCACTTTGAAGTACACTAAGGAAAAAATCTTTACATTAACCTGGCTCTTACTGTGAATTAAAGCTATAAGCAATTTCGAGTTCAGGGAAGACTAATAATCATTTTTGGATAGAGGCAATGATCTGTTTCACAATGTTTAAAATTTCATTTAATTTTATTTTGAAATTTTCTTTATTCATGCTGATCCTTCCTTTTCATGGGTTATAGCTTTATATTCAATTATTTTTCCAGAAAGTTTCTCATACTTTCACTTTGAAAAAAAAGATACTTGTCTCATTATCAATGAGTCAAAACAATAAAATGAACCTGAATTAGATGAATCTCTACTTTCTAGAATACGTGTGTGTGTATAAATTAAGGTTAAGAGAAATTTAAAACTAAAACCACACACACACACACACACACCCTCAATCTACCTAACTTCCAGTAACAGGTAATTTTTAAAGAAATAATATAGGTGCAAAAGCAAAACAAAAAAAAAAGAAACAACTTTTTTCCTACCTTAGGACAGACTTAGATATAGCAAGTAGCTTACTTACTTGTTCATAGTTAAAGGTATCTAACATTCCCAAAATAAGTCCCTGGATTTCTCCGAGTTTTCCCTTTCCATAAACTGGATCCTAATTACAAAAAAAAAAAAAAATTGCAAGAAATTATAATTCTGTTATGATTCTTGGTATTTTAAAATTACTTTAAAATATAAGTTATCTGAAAAAGCCAAATGTTCTTAAGCATTTTTCTATAGTCACAAAACATCTATTCTTCCATGAACCTTCCACTGGAGACTTACATCAGTCTCCCTCTGACCATCTCAAGTATTTTAGAAAAATGAAATTTAAATGAGTCCAGCCACTTTAATAATCTTCTTTGCAAGTCTAACTTAACTTCACTTTGGTTTTGTTTCTGCAAGAAGCTTCCCCTCCTTCATATTAACCATCAACTCTCCCTCTCTGAGTTCATTTATTTGTTACATTAAAACCAATGTACTCAGTGATGCTCAGCTCTGTACCCCACAAATATGTATAATCAATTATGTTTCAGTTAAAAAAAAAAAACCTAAAAACAAAAACAAACAAGAAAAACAAAATTAAAAAACCCGACATACTCAGGAATACCCAGAATCTGTCCAACAACTTCTCTTGTGACCCACATTTAGCCACATTGGTTTTAGGGACAAGCAGGATCTGAGAAAACAGCTTTCAGTTTTTCAAAGCTTTTTTCAATAAAGTTACTACTAATACAGATACCTAGATACCCAATCTTCCCTCTACTGCTTTTCATATGAGGTATGCCAAGTAACTTGTTTATTATGCACAATTTGGAAAAAAATTAAAGAACACCAAAAAAACAAAAGACAAAAACTGATATCCAACCACCCAGAGATAAACACTATTGCTATTCTGATGTATATTCTTCCAGTCTTGTTTCTGGGGAAGGAGAGAAAGAGAGACAAAGGGGGATGCACTTCTTAGTGTACAAAATTTGAGTATTTCACATACTTTTAGATTTTATTTTTTACTTAATGGTATATTGTGAGCACTTTCCCATATCATCAAATATTTCTTAATAGCTGCAGAGTATGAATCATGTGAAAATACCATTTTTAATTCAGTCAATTCTCTGCTATTAGGTATTCAAGTTTTCCCATTCACTTTTATCAAATGCTAGTGGCTATAAATCTTGGTCTCAATCTCTGATTCTTTCTTTAGAGGAGATTTTTAGAAAAGGATTAAGTACAGACTCAAAGAGCATTCTTACGGCTATCAATACACATTGCCAAATTGTTCTACTGGAAAGTTTAATATGCAACTTTTATCTCCATCAACGTGTTTATGTGCCCATTTTACCGTACCTTTGGCTAGACTAATAATTAGAGTTTTAAAAATTGCCAATAAATGAGTTGTCAGGTCTATTACTTTAATATGAGGCTGTGTATGACATAAATTGCTCTTTTCTGTACCAAACAGGGGAATACAACTACACAGTAATGATAGAAGTATCTATTTATTAACCATATGCCAAGCACAGTGATAAGCACTTTATTTTTATTTATTTTTTCTTTTTTTGTGACTGGTAAGGGGATCGCAACCCTTGGCTTGGTGTCACCTGCACCATGCTCAGCCAGTGAGTGCACCGGCCATCCCTATATAGGATCCGAACCCGCGGTGGGAGCGCCACTGCACTCCCAGCACCACACTCTCCCAAGTGAGCCACGGGGTCGGCCAGATAAGCACTTTATATATACCACATCACTAAATTTCTCCACCAACTTTTACAAATGAAGAAATTGAGACTTGGAGAGGTTAAATTCACAATTTGAATTTAGGTACTTCAAAAGCTCTGTTTTTAATGAACACACTATATATTGGTCTCCCAAGTATAGATACATAAACTAACAAACTAAATAATAAACTAATTTTTGATGGAAAATATGGGTAACTAAATGATAAACTAACAATTACTGGAAAATATGGGTAACATTTCTGGCTACTTCTTAGAGAGTAAGAGTTATTAAACTCTTGGTGCAGTAAGAGTAACTGAGTTCAGAAAGAAAAAAGGCTAAGAAAGCAGGAAAAACTTGTACAACAAAGTCTCAGGGTTTGCTTATTTTTCTCTCTGGGCTCCATGTTGGCTCTTGAAGACTGGGTAGTGCAGTTTCTAAGACTGGTTTTCAGTACTTTGAGTTTGTCTAGAGCAGCATGAGATTATCTGCCAGAGGTTCTCTGGTCCTTTCAGCTGCTATGGTTATGCTGAAGAAATCCAAGGTACAAAATAACGATGTATTTGTGTAGTAATGAACAAATGTACAAGTTTGGGTTTGAACAGTCCACTTAAGCTTAGAAATAGAAAAATTTTTTGTTTCACAGCTAGAGGTCATATCACTATACCTGTCAAACATGTGGAGACCATTTACGAAAGGTAAGACTGGATATTTTAGACTCGTCTTTTACTAGAAAAATAACTCAGGCCATTTACCTACCCACTGGAAAATGTTTTTTTGTTTTCTTTGCATAAAAATAGACCCATGTTAATGCTTCTCATCTTCACTTAATTATGCTTTTGGTCAAGCTCTTAAAAATACACTTGTTTTTCAGTGAAAGTATCAGTGGATACTTATTATTAAAAAAAATAATATTTACTATAATATGCTAATTTAACTCTGGCATGTGTTTGTGACAAGGGTGGTTTGGAGAATAAAGAGGTCTTAAAAGGTTAAATTCTGGAAAAAGAAGAAATCTTTATAGGTCATTTCTATATTTATATCAGTACATTTCACTTTAATATACATAATTTAAAAGCAAAATCATGAAAACGACCTCATGCTGGGTCAACATATAAATTATGGAATGCCAAAGGGAGCTCAAGGCTTCTAGCACAGCATGCACAAATCCACTAGCTGTTCAAATTATTTTCCAAAGATGTCAGCTAGATTCTTCAGCAATGAATATCTGCTGAGGTTTCTGTTTAACTTTTTTGTAAACTATAAAAGAAGAGCACACTTGGGTACCCCATGTAAAGCTGTTTTTCATAAAGCACACTAGAAAAAGATGTGATGACCACTTTCTTTTCCTAATACTTTCTGGTATCTGTTGTATCATGTCTATTTTAAAATTGAAATCTTTACTAGTGAGCATTACTTTAAAATATGAATGATACCCTAAGCAGGAGAGTATATCAATCATTTGTTTGGTTTAATTCTCTTAGTACGAAAGTCATAAACAGATTCTCAAAAGCCAAGAATTATTTCTGCCATAGAGTGAAGACAGAATGTATATAACATAAATATGGTCCCTTGAAAATGCTCCCTTACTCATCACCTAATATTCATGAAAGAAGCCTGTACAATTCAGGTCCACTAGTTTACATAAATATGTGAAGGTCAAAAAGATTTTTGAGAACCTCTTATCATGTGAATATATCTTTAGGAAAAACTAATATTGAGCAATTGTGCATCTAAATAACTGTCATTCTCTACCTTCTCCCCAGGGGACCTGACAAAGTGAGATGGATATGAAAAACACCTTGATTAATGTTAAGTACAGAGGAAAAGTCCTAAAACTTGAAGTTAGAAAACCTGGGCTAACGTTCCAGCTGCTCCTACTTAATAATTGAGTAAACTGGGGAAAATTGTTTAATCTTTCTGAGTGGCATTTTCCTCATAAGACATATGAGGATATTGCTACTTTCCCAGCTTAATGTGCAGTTAGAGATCAAAAAAATTAATGAACACAAAAGTGTTTTATAAACTGCTGAGAGCTATCCAAGGACATCAGGTGATTGAGTCAACTAATATTTATTGGGTAAATACCATGTTCTAGGCCCTGCACCAGGTGTTGGAGATAAAACAGTGAATCAGATAGACACGGTCTCTGCTTTTATGAAACTCACAGCCCAGGAGGGAAACCAATATGGAGACTGGAGTCAAAAGAGTTTATATTGAGAGGTGTGATTGGGGTTGGGATGAGGGTGGGGAGGCAAGTAAGAAAAAACTTATTTCCTAAAGTATTCTAGGAAATATTCTAAGAGAGAGAATTTAAAGTGGATTAAATACTGGGACTGTTGAGGAAAATGTTGAGGAACTCTACCAAGCATTTAAGGAAGAAATTTTGCCAATGCTCTACAATCTGTTCCAGAAAACAGAAGCAGAAGGAACACTTCCTAACTTATTCTATGAGACCAGCACTACCCTAATACCAAAACCAGACAAAGAGATTACAAGAAAAGAAACTACAGACCAATATCGCTCATGAACACAGCTGCAAAAATTCTCAACAAAATACTGGCAAATCAAATCCAACAAATCCAACAATTATATACCACAACCAAGTGGGATTTGTCCCAGGTATGCACAGCTGGTTCCACATTAAAAAACCAATTAATGTAATCCATCATATCAATAGGCTAAAGAAGAAAAATCATAAGATCATATCAGTAGAAGTTAAAAAACACTTGAATCCAGGGCCGGCCCCTGGCTCACTTGGGAGAGTGTGGTGCTGATAACACGAAGGCCACGGGTTCGGATCCCTATATAGGGATGGCCGGTTAGCTCACTTGGGAGAGCATCGTGCTGACAACACCAAGTCAAGGGTTAAGATCCCCATACCGGTCATCTTTAAAAAAAATAAATAAATAAAAAATAAAAAGCACTTGAATCCAACACCAATTCATGATTAAAAAAAAGACTGTCGGGCCAGCCCGGTGGCGCACTGCTACAGTGCGCCGCTTGGGAGTGCGGCAGCGCTCCCGCCGAGGGTTCGGATCCCACATACAGACCGGTTCCCGCTCACTGGCTGAGCGAGGTGCGGGCGCGACACCGAGGGTTGCAATCCCGTTGCCGGTCCCGGTCCGGTACGGGCGCGACACTGAGGGTTGCGATCCGTTGCCGGACATGAAAAAAGACAAAAAGGAAAAAAAAAAAAAAAGACTGTCAGTAAACTAGAAATAAAGAGGACTTCCTCAACTTGATAAACCACATCTAAAAAAACCTACAGCTAGCATCATCAAAATACCCATGAAATGGTGAGAAACTAGATGCTTTCCCCCTGAAGATAGGGAACAAGGCAAGGATATCCCCTCTCACCACTCCTATTCAATACTGTACTCAAAGTCCTAGTTAATG